CCTGTCTGTCTGTCCCTTTAGCCTACCAGCTCATCACCGTGGTGATTGCAGCCGCAGGAGGTGGCCTTCTTCTCATCCTGGGCATCGCACTGATTGTGACCTGTTGCAGGTGAGTGGTGAGAACTCACATCTCAATCCTGTTTTACCAGCCATGCTGTACAGAGGGTCAGCTTTTCACCTCGAGGAAACTAGCATTGGGGAAACTGAGGCAAAAGGAAAATTACTCTGAGGATGAGGCCAGCCTGGGTCGATAGCAAGTGCTGGGCGAGCCTGGGCTACATGATAAAAATCCTGTCTCCAAAGAACCAAAAAAAAAAAAAAAAAAAATAACACAAGCAATGGGACTTTATCAAAATCCAGAACTTTCGGGCTGGAGAGATGGCTCAGAGATTAAGAGCACTGGCTGCTCTTCCTGAGATCCTGAGTTCAATTCCCAGCAACCACATAGTGGCTCACAACCATCTGTAATGAGGTCTGGTGCCCTCTTCTGGCCTGCAGGCATACATGCAGACAGAACACTGTATACACAATAAATAATTAAAAAAAAAAAAATCCAGAACTTTCACGCCCCAGAGCTGAGGACATATGTGGCTCCGTGACTAGAGGACTTGCCTGGCACACGGTGAAGCCCTGGGTTTGCTCTCCAGCCATGCAAAAACTAAGCGTGGTGTTGTCCTCTTCTGAACCAGCCCAGGAGGTAAAGGCAGGAGGAACTGATAATTCCAAGTCATCCTCAGCTAGGAAGCAAGCCCAAGGACAGCCAGGGATACGGGAGGCCGTTCTAAAAATACAACACAGCCGGATTCGGTGGCACACGTCTTTAATCCCAGCACTCTGGAGACAGAGACACTTGGATCTCCTTGAGTTAAAGGCCGATCTGATGGGAACACATCCACATAAGAACGTGTTTCTTGTGTATTCACAAGAAATATCCTGGTGTATTCACAGCGATTCTATTCCTAGAAGTCAAAAGGGGAAATGATCCCAGTGCCTGTGGGCCGATGAATGTGACCGAGTAGTACCCCAGAGCCACAGTCAGCCATTGACGGACACGTGGGCAGACCTTCACAATCTTATTCTAAGTGAAAAGGGGCATCTGAAAGATCGTCGGGGGTGTGGTGTGAATATGAGTTATTAAAGTAGTCTGGTCTAATAGAGACAGACTAGTTGGAGTCTACTTGGGAGGAGGGCAGGTTAGGGAAGTTGGAAGACGGGGTGGTTGCTAAGGGGTTGGTGACGAAATCGGTTTTGAAATTGTGAAGGTGGTCGCACCACTGTGCATATGTTAAAAACCATTGAAGAGTAAATCGTAGGGTTGCGTCCATCGTCTCTCAGGGCTGTGTATATAGAGAGAAGCAGACGAAGACTCGGGAGCGAGGGGGCTGCCTGATCTCTGTTAGCGGTAAAGAGGCTGGAGCCATGGTTTGGATGAAAGTGACCTTCGCTCCGGGCTTCCTGTGATGGAGTTTCCATGGGAAGGGAAGAGAAAGGGGAGACTAGATCCCCCTTGTCTACAACTACCTGTTCAAGTAAAGGAAAATTAACAATCATTGACTTAGAGGATATCCAATGGAATTATTTGTACGTAAGAGATGGAGGGACCTTATCAAAAATAGCTCGTTATCTTTTTGTGCCAGTGATATAAGGACATTTTAAGGCATCCCCTGCCTCCAGGAAGGCCACCAAGAATAACTTCCTGTAAGCACTCCCTCCCTCAGGAGTTCAGGGTGCATGGTACAGCCATCCCTTCTCACATAGAAATCAGAGATAAGCATGCGTGGAAATAAACCGGAGCAGTTATGTAGAGAAACAGAGCCTGGCAGCTGGGAGGACATAAGCCTTGTATTGGCAACATTCTCGGTCACACAGTGTAGTCATTTTTGGAGGGAGCCTGGACGCTTGGTTACTGAAAAGTGAAGACAGCAGTGGGGTCATCCTGTCCCACCTCAGTAGGGGCAGCTCTGCTCTGAGCCCGAAGGAAGGACCGGTACTGAGGCCATGCTTTATGACGCTGAGTCATTTCTATCCTTTCCCGGAAACTTAAAGTGCAGGACAAACAGCGGGCTTCAGATTCTCTAACTCAGAGCAAATAATAATGAAACGTTCCTGGTCCTCCGCCCACAAGACAGACAGTTGCCCTGACCATTTCTAGGCAGTGAAACCTCACGGTAGGGCTTCTGGGCCTGCTAGAATGAGAACGTGGAGAGTCTAGAAGCTGGGGGCCCCATCAAGGTTTTATGGTTTGTGAAGTTGTAAAGAAAACATGGCCGGGGAGAGGAGAGGCCAGCCCCGTCCCAGGTGGCTAGTAGCTGCAGGGGAGCCATGGGCTAAGTCTCCGGGAGCCAGAGCTGCCCGAGGCCTGGCTCCCCATTCTAGAACAGCATTGATGCTTCATCTGTGGCTACTGAGGTTTGGCCACCATTGAGCTCCTTTCCTGCCCACAGGCACCTGTGAATGCTGATTCTTGTGCCCCTCGATAACCCAGGGCACAGTACCCTCTGCTCCCAGCGGACACTAATGGCTCCTTCGGGGCTGTCTTCATGTTCCGTTTGGACTCTTGAATTTAGGAAGTCTTTTTACATCTTCTTTTGGATGGCAGAGGGGGCACCTAATGTCAGTTTTAGGGTTTTTTAGTCAAATATTAAACTATAGTAGCCCTTCTGGTGGGCAAGCCACATGGGATTGCAGGGGCAGGCAGTTCCCCGTCTAACTGATGTTGCCAGACACACTCATCGGCCTTGTGGCCGCAGGGGCCGTTTCCTGACACAACTTACTGATAGAACTTGTCGCACGTTCTTTTAACATCTCACAGAAAGAGTAAAAATGACATAAGTAAGCTCATCTTCAAAAGCGGGGACTTCCAAATGTCCCCGTACGCCGAGTACCCCAAGAATCCTCGCTCACAAGAATGGGGCCGAGAAGCCATTGAAATGCACGAGAATGGGAGCACCAAAAACCTTCTGCAGATGACAGACGTGTACTACTCGGTAGGTGCCTGTGCCCAGCCGGCCTCGGGGGCCCGGCTCAGAGATCCTTGTGAAAGTGTCGGAGTTCATTAAGGCTCCAAGAGAACAGTGACGCAAGCCTCTCCGATACACAGTTTGTTTACCATTCAGCTTAACTGGCCTGGTTGCACCGTATTTATCCGTTTGAGTATCAGGGATACTCCCACAGAGTGAATTACTGTTAGCGAGTGGGGAGTGGGGAGTCGTAATTCCTAAACTTGCTTTTCTGAGTAGGGACGGGAACTTCAAAGGAAGAGCGAATGTGGTTTTAGCCCTTTGCCCTCTCCTGTGGTTTGCTCTCTCGTATCTCACCCGCTGTGGTTTGTCAGTCAAAACTGGGAGCTGGGAAAGACGCGGCCAGAAGGGCTCCATGGCATCTTCACCTTGGAGGTTTTAGAAACTCAGTGGATAATCACTGGCTCCGTCCAGCCCTGGACTACATCATCGGGAAAGCTGGGAGCATGCCCTAAGCCAGTCAGTGCTTCTCAGCCTTCCCGATGCTGCGACTCTTTAAAACAGTTCCTCGTGTGGTGGTGACCCCCCAACCATACAATTAATTTCCTTGCTACTTCATAGCAGTAATTCTGCTACTGTTATGAATCATAGTGTAAATATCTGATGTGTGGGATATCTGATATGCAATCCCTGTGAAGAGTTGTTCGACCCACCCACCCCAGGGGTCTCGACCCACCAGGTGAGAACCACCGCCTTAAGCCCCTTTTCCTGTCCCACACGGAGGAAAATACAACTTTTATTCCTATGCCGTTCAGTTCAGCTTGAGTTACAGTGCCAGCCGTCAGCAGACGCAAATGCAGATATCTGAACAGAAAAATAAACATGTCAGGTGACTTCTCATCAGTTTGCTGCATAGCAATAAACATGAGACCTTGCCCTGTGGGGACTTAATGGCGCTGGATATTTCGCTATAGAAACCATAATCCCTCTGGTTGCTATGGGGATGAACCAGGAGGATCAGACTTTGGATGGGAGGGGCAGGTTTGTCCCAGTGTGCTCTTTGGAAATTTTCAACCAGGAGGAAGAACAAGGAAGGGGGAGAAAATAAAGATGGACGTGTACCTAGAGTTGAACATCCTGTTTCCGAGCAGGCATTGGTCTTTTTGCCTCTGTCAGGAATATCTTTTCCCTTTTCCCTAACTGATGCTGTAGTAAGTGTATCCTAACCCCACATCCTTTGCTAGGGACTCCTTAGCCCTGGCGGTGTGTGTTAATTCTAACAAACAAGCAGGCAGTATCCTGGGACCCTGCCTCTCTGCGCATACCCATGGCATTGTCTTAAGTCTCCTTAGGAGCTCAGGTGAACACGCTTAATTAGGGTTTCTATCACTTTGAGGAAACCCCATGACCAAAAGCCACGTGGGAAGGAAAAGGTTTATTCAGTTTACACTTTCACATTGCCACATCACCAAAGGGAGTCAGAACAAGAACTCAAGCAGGGCAGGAACCTAGAGGCAGGAGCTGATGCAGAGGCCATGGAGGGGTGCCGCTCCTCATGGCTTGCTCAGCCTGCTTTCTTATGAAACCCAGGACCACCAGCCCCGGGATGGCCCCACCCACCATGGGCTGGGTCCTCCCCCATCAATCACTAAGAAAATGCCATGCAGCCGGATCTTATGGCGATATTTTCTCAGTTGAGGTTCCCTCCTTTCAGATGACTCTAGTTTGTGTGTCAGGTTAACAAAACTAGCCAGCACAGGCCCTATCTTCTCTTTATGGAAACAGAGCCCGAGTTGACAGCGTGATGCTGTCACCCGTGTGCCACTGTCCTTCACAGTGGGTACAAAGTGGTCCAGGCAGTGCCACACTGGGCTCCCATAGGTACCATGTTTCTAATGCACCCTATCTAGTACTTTATTTCTACCAAAAAGAAAAAAGAAAAAAGCACTAACCTCTGATGCTGCTATGAAGAGTTTCTCATGGGGCCTTTATTGTTTCAGATACCCGGCCTGACTCATGTTTTTTTTAACCCCCTTTTAAAATGAAGTGAGATGCACCCCACATCCATAAAGAGATAAGCTTGTATGCCAGGTGTAGTGACACGTGCCTGTAATCCCAGCCCATGGTAGGAAGAGCCGAGAAGATTGTAGCGGGGGCTAGAGAGATGGCTCAGTGGTTAAGCCCCAGCACCCACACGGCGGCTCTCAGTTGTCTGTAACTCCAGGGAATCGGATGCCCTCTCCGGGTGTCTCTGAGCACCGGGCTCACGAGTGAGGCACAGACAAACATGCAGGCAAAACATTCATATACATAAAATACAATTTAGAAAAGTAATGAAAGTAATTTTTTAAAAGAAGGAGATTGTGCATTTCAGGCCACCAGGAGCAGATGGCGCGACTCTGCCCACCCCACCCCCATCTAAATACATAAATAGACCCGTGGGAGTTGCGTTTCCAGGTGAGCTGGTGCTTTGATATTTATAGCTGGCCCCAATCTTAATTTACAGCTAGCCCCATCTTAAGTTCATGAAAATGTAAAATCGTTTAAACTTATTTAAGTCCGGGAATAATTATCTTTTTATCCTTTTTCTCTTCGGCATCCAGCCCACAAACGTAAGGAACCCTGAACTTGAACGCAACGGACTCTACCCAGCCTACACTGGACTGCCCGGATCAAGGCACTCCTGCATTTTCCCGGGACAGTATAACCCGTCTTTCATCAGCGATGAGAGCAGGAGGAGAGACTACTTCTGAGTCCAGGAGAGAGAGGGGCCCATGTCTCTGAGGCACATCCCCAGCCCTCTGGCTCAGAGAACCGCACCGGAAGGGAGCGCCGTGTACTGGCTGCCTCTAGGACTTGTCAGAGCCACACTTGAGGGGCATGACCACAGGGGAGGGGACAGATGGATGCGGAGCTGCAGGCCACTCATTCCGCACTGGTATTACTGTGAACATGAACGTGGGCCAGTACCGAGTCTCCGAACGTCTGGCGCGCAGAATTGGCTGACTTCCGCAGGAGACCACTAGGCATCATTTCTAGGACCCAGTTCCCCTTTAATTTGCACTTTAATAGATCGGGCAGGGAGGTTTCATTTTTTGACTCATTTCCAGACTATTCCAGAAAGCCTTCCTTTTCTAGGATCCTTCTGCAGGCCTCAGCGTGGTGATTGATTGGCAGGCAGGTGCTGGCACTTTGGTTTCCCTGCCTGGTGGCTTGTGCTACACACCAGATGGAGTACACATACCACTGTGGTCCAGTGATGCAGCAGTCAGGGGCCATAGTCTTTCAAGGTTTCTAAGTTGCCTGAGCTCATTTCCAAGCTAACGCCCCAAACGAGAACTTGACCTTTGCAAGGTGAAGCACACACCTTCCATTTGTGTTGTAAGTTGAGATGATACCTTGGCTTAGGATTTATTCATTTTACTTTTCCAAACAAGAATGAATCAGGGCGAAAGGACTTCCACTTGGTTTTCATTAGAAGTATCCAGCTGCCCCTTAGTAAGTCCTGGCAGGCAGTATCAGGCGGTCCTCCATGTGGGAGGGTGTTTTTGAACCACGCGGGAGTCGCATGGGGCCTGGGACTCTGACGCCAGAGTCTGCAGTTGTAGTAGGGAAAGGGAGAGTCGATCGCAGGTGCATCTGAGCTAGCTAGCGTCTCAGCACTGAAGGATAAAGCAGCCTGCTGTGGTCCCCACAGCAGAGTGGGACAGAGGAACGGCCTGGATGACAGTATTTCCTGCATCAGTGTTTTGAAAAGCTGGGGGGATTCCCCGAGGAAGAATAGGGAGCTGGGAGAGAGCCACAGGTAAGGGTGTGTACCTGCTAATCTTTGAACCCAGAATGTTGTCCACAAACTCACGGAAACTTTGGACCACTAAAAGCCATTCTCTCGCCCGGCCGTCAATATGTCTGTGTTCTTATACAGTGGCCCCTTGAGACTCAGTTATGGTCCAGGTCAGCTTTGGAGAACGAAAGCTTGGCCGGCTAAGGGCCTGAGAGCTTGCTTTGAGGGAAAGAGTTCTGTGTCTTGTTTATTGCACTGTGGTGGGGTCCTGTTGTGTGTGTGTGGAGGGGGGAGGGCTCTGTCCCCTGTGGAACTACATGTATCAACTTGTGGAATATTGGAACATCCTGGTTTGGGATGAGTGAGGAGGGCAAAGCATTTCCCCACTCTGAAGCTGGAAATTCAGTGGCAGATCTTTCTGGAAATGGGGCAGCTGTTGGAGATGGATCTGTGTGTGTGTTTATGTGGGGTTCTCTGGTTCCTCCAAATTTTATGCAGGTCCCCATCCTGTTTTAAGTGTGAGCTGTGCCTCGTGGTCTCCACCGCTCAGGACCACTAGTCAGGTGCAGTGGATTTTAACCATCAGAAGGCACTCATTAGTACAGGGAGGATTCTGTTGCTGTTAGTTGATGCTCACTTCAGGTTGCAAAGCAGCCCTCAAGAAGCCATGGGTCTTGCCTCTAGCTCACTGTGGAACTGATGGCTCCTTGTATCTTTGTGAGCTCCTGTGCTCGGTTTGCCTGGGCCCAGATCCCTTGTGAGGTAGCCTGGTTCTAGCCCTTCCCTCAATGTCCCTGTTTGTCCCCAGCCTCACTGCTGTTCCCCCACACACTTCTAATGCCTTCAGCTGGCGTCACAGCTGCTGAGCACCTGCTTAGGGGGCCAGGAGCCTCAAGCCCCACACAATGGAAATTCCCAGAAAAATTCCTGGGAAGAATCCCAGTGTCCAGAAAAAGTGTCCTGTGAGTTCCAAAAATGCTTGCTGACTCATGAGTTTGGTCCAAATAGAGTTGATTAAGAGTGTTTCATTTTTTTTTTAACTGTGAAAAAAATGGGAGCGCCAAGCAAGGGTGAATTCATACTGACTCTACTGTTTCACGGGGGGCTTGAGATAGAAAGGCTTGAAGAATTTGTATAAGAGACATAACTTATCTGGACTCTCTGCCCACCATTGGAAGGAATGGGGTGACTGGGTGATCTGCTACTTGGGGTTACATCCAGATGGAGCCTGGAGATAGGACGTCAGTCAGCAGGCCATGTGCAGGACAGACAGGATGAACCCGTGCCTAGACGTGCAGAGTCTCCGCTGGACACAAGTGCTCAGAGTCCGTCCCCATGACCTAGAACGCATAATTCACGTGCACGGATGTGTCACAGTCCTGCATTGGGGTCCCAGGGTGGAGGATGTGGGGGGAAGGGAAAAGGCACACTGCTTAGGAAATGCTTGTGTGCAAAAGGGCCAGGCCAGGCAGAACTTAGCCTATCCTGAGGGGTTCAGGAACAGGAAAGAAAGGGGGCTTTCCAAGGGGTCCCTTCTCTCTCTCTCTCTCTCTCTCTCTCTCTCTCTCTCTCTCTCTCTCTCTCTCCCCCTCTCTCCCTCCCTCCCCCCTCCTTCCCTCCCTCTCTCCTCTCCCCCTCTCTCCCCACAAGGCACCTCATGACACTGGAGCTTATCTCTTAAGAGGATGAATAGCATCATGTGTTCCCACCATGCACCAGGCTCTCTGCGAGGTGTCTGGCCTTACCTGTGTTAGTGGGTGATGAGCATTCAGAGAGGGGCCCGGGAATGTAGCTTAGATGGCAGAGTGCTTGCCTAGCAATGTACAAGCCCTGGGTTTGAGCCTCGGCACCCTATAAACTGGGCATAGTGGTATACTCCTGTAACCCCAGCCCTCGGGGGTTGAGGCCAGAGGATCAGGACATCAAGGGTTTCCTGGAGCACATGACAGTTGTCTCAAAAAGGAAACTATTGACTGGTTAGCAGTTGGCAAGAAGAATATTGGTATGTAGCTTGGGCTGCTAGAAGCGAAAGGGAGTGGTCTAGGTGGGTTTTTGACCAGCACAATCAGGCTGAGGTGCCCATTTGAGGGCTTCCTGCTTGACTCTCAAAGCGAGGCCATGGCTCCCACATATTAGATGTGTGAACCTTTTGGAGTTTGGAACACAGTTGAATGTCCGGGGTGCTGAAGGATCTTCCTTATTGGGGAGGTTATTTTTAGAAGCATCTAAGTCGTGTTGAACCAGAACTGTCGTATGATTGGTGCGGTCAAGCTGCCTCGTGGCGTTGGAGGTCAAAGGTGACAGTTACGCTCTGAAAGAGGAAGTCATAAAAGCTGGCCCGTAGGAGAGAGCAGCATTGTTGGAAGGAGACTGGTGGACCACCAAGAGTAAAGTCTTCAAAGATGCTGTGTGATACTCAAGATACTCAAGTGTGAGGTTCCCAAGTGGGCACACTAGGGTTACCCCGGCACATGGCTTGGGGTGCCTCCTTAAGCCACCTTGCCCAGTTGTGAAGTTCCGGGGTCTCTGTAACTGTAGGACTTGGCCTAACACAGTAAAACTATTCAGCAAAGTTGCCCTTGGCTAAGTGTCCCACAATACACTCAAAACTAGGGGCTTTACCCCTAGTTCTGAATTTATATTGATTTGCCTTTCGAGACCAAAGCACTTCTTTGGGAAGAACAATGCAAAGTTCTGTGTTTTCGTATTTTATTTAAAATGGCCTGAAATAGCAGAGACATAGTCATCTACCAGTCTGTCTACCTGAATGCTTTTTGTTTTAGAAAAGGACACGCACATCCCTCTTTTCTCTTCCTCCTCTTCCTCCTCCTCCTTCTCCTCCCCCCCTCCCCCTCCTCCTCCTCATCCTTTTCATCCTCCTCCTCCTTCTGGAGGGTAGGACCAGGAATGGAACCCAGGCTTGCACACAGGGCAAGTGCTATGCTGTACCACGGAGCTGTATCACACAGCAGCCCTGTCTTGTCTTCTTCCTATCAGTAACATTCTAAAGGGCTCACCAGCATGTTGGGAGACAGAAATGGTTTTGTAGTTTGTCGTTGGGGATGCGTGTTCTTTCTGTTCTCAAATCCCAATGGGAAGAAAAAAACAATAGGAACATTGAAGTTAAAATAGTAACTTTAAACTTTTTTAAAAAATAACCGGTTAAGATAATAGGAACATTGGAGTATTAAATGCCAATCAGTCCCTTGTACTTAAGTTCTCTTCGAGGTTACCCTCCTTTATGTCTGGTGGGAACTTTAGCCAACAGAATAGCCTGTGCAACCAAAGGGAACCCTTGAGGTCTGAAAAGAGGCAGGTCCTGGACTGCACCTGTCATGTGGGCATTTTCAAAGAGGGCATTGCCAAGGGGCTGCCTGGTAGATTCTGCTATAATTTTAAATGACGGGCTTGATGCCCTTGTTGAGGATGGGGTGAGAATAGGGCTGGGGTGAATCGGTTTGTCAGGGGAACTGAACCTACTCACTTAATCTTTGGGCATTACCTAGGCCTGGTCTACAGAGAAAATGACTGTTTCACCACAAGTTGCTGTGAGTTTTGGTGATGTGTGTGTGTGTGTGTGTGTGTGTGTGTGTGTGTATCTGGCCTTGAGGTTCAGTGGAGATGAAGCTGCGATACGAACTCCATTCCCATTGTCCTGGATTTTGTTCTGTACTCCTTGAAACTGACTGTGTGAAACCCATCATGAGAATGTTATTTAAAGTTGTATTATAATGTCGCCTCCACTAATTATTCAGTACTGTAGCAGCAAAGTATTATTTGTAAGAATTCGGTTATTTTTATACTTATATCCACTCTAAGTCTGGCGTTCTAGTCAGCAAAAAAAATGATGCAATAAAGTTAATATCATTCCCATTGGTTTTCTTTTAAAACAAGCAAATGAGTGTGGAAGTTTTTTTTTTTTTTTTTAACCAGCACACCATTTAAATAGCTGAAGTGAATAGTGGACTTCTGAATTAAAAATGGAGTCAGTGAGTTGACTCTCTGTCTTCAGTGCCAGGAAGTGAAGAAACACTGTTGAAAGTGAATGGGTGGATGGATGGATGGATGGATGGATGGATGGATGGATGGATGGATGGATGGATGGATGGATGGGTGGGTGG